TAATAATATTGGCATCATGAAAATCAAAAATGCCTCGATAAATTGCATTGTAAAAAACAAAAACTTGCGAAAGGGTCCTATAACTTCGAACGATGAAAATGTACTGATTCTGATGTCTGAGTCATCACCTTATATATTATATATGGCCCGCCGTGCACGAGTGCGCGACCATATCGTGGCTTTCGCCACGGTATTGAATGTTCAATGAAATGACGATGATGATAACGACGTGAGACAATTTAGCTTAGCATATGGTAAGAACGCATCTCTTGGCATAAGGTCAAGGAGTTTAATGGGCGTAAAACACTGCTTTGTTCAAAGGTGTGACCGTTTCGTGTGCAAAACCATACAAATCTAAGTCACGTGATTATTAAAAGAACCATAAACTACTGTTTACACTTACACTTGATAAAGTGTTATCTATAAAAACGTACGGTCCATGATCTAAGTAGGGTCTTAAAAATTGAAGAATCAGAATCAGATTTATCAGAAATTGAAAATGCAATATGTGCTGATCGAGACACTTAACTGACAAGCTCAAAGTCAATGTTCATCAACGTAATCTGGCCAATAGTGTATTTGATTGTTCCTCTAGGTAACCTGGATTACATTGCAGACCATTGAAGATGAATTACAATTTTGGACAACAGTTTGAAAACAATATCAGATTGGCCTATTCTAGGTTTGAAAAGTACTAGTTGTCATACCATGATACCATGCTCGATTAAAAATTACCATTGTAGGTTTATAGGGTTTATAACCTTGAACCTGTTAAATGTTATACTTATATAACATTTCAAACAAATACTGTGCGGGTTATTAAGATTTCCAGCCTGATAGTGTTTTGCTCTCCTCCCACTACATTATTTGGCACCCCTCCAAAGAATATGCCGCACTCGTAACCCACTCTGTTCTATCAGTATCACTGAAAAAGACACTTCAATTCTGGAAATCACTTGACTACAGTTAATTTCAACTACAACCTATAGTACCTATAGTATACGAGTGGCTACTAGCCGGCTACTAGCCGACTAGTAGCCACTTTTGTAATAACAGCTCCTCAACTTCACATTACCAAACCGGCTACTAACCGGCACTTAAAAAGTGGTCACTAGCCGGCTACTAACCGGCTAGTAGCCGGCTAGTGACCAGAAAGTGGCTACTAACCGGCTACTAGGCGGTCACTAGCCGGCTATTAGCTGAGCTCTAAAGCAGACCTACTTTCTCGAGGTTCCAAACCGGCTACTAGCCGGCACTTGAGAAGTGGTCACTAGCCAGCTATTAGCTTGGCTCTAATAGACCTTAGTAGCCGGTTAGTAGTCGGCTAGTGACCGCTTTTCAAATGCCGGCTAGTAGCCGGTTTGGGACCTCGAGAAAGTAAGTCTATTAGAGCCAAGCTAATAGCCGGCTAGTGACCGGTTAGTAGCCACTTGGTGACTACTAGCCGGTTAGTAGCCGGCTAGTGACAACTTTTCAAGTGCCGGCTAGTAGCCGGTTTGGAACCTCGAGAAAGTAGGTCTGCTTTAGAGCTCAGCTAATAGCCGGCTAGTGACCGCCTAGTAGCCGGTTAGTAGCCACTTTCTGGTCACTAGCCGGCTACTAGCCGGTTAGTAGCCGGCTAGTGACCACTTTTTAAGTGCCGGTTAGTAGCCGGTTTGGTAATGTGAAGTTGAGGAGCTGTTATTACAAAAGTGGCTACTAGCCGGCTACTAGCCGGCTAGTGACCACAAAGTGGCTACTAACTGGCTACTAGGCGGTCACTAGCCGGCTATTAGCTGAGCTCTAAAGCATACCTACTTTCTCGAGGTTCGAAACCGGCTTCAGATAAAACTGAATACAGTAAAGCAACACCGCAGTCAAATAATATAAAGATAACAAATGCTGTATTTAAGACATCCTTTGATCCCATCTGACCGATTCATGAAGCTGTGTGATAAATGTAATTAGGTGCAACTGACAGTGACAATGATTAAAAGTTTTAATCGTACTTATTGTGAGCAGTGAGCACGAACGCCAGCTCGCACGTTATCGAGTCGCAATAAATAAGAATTTTTTTATAGACTGCACAGTAGTTAAATGATAATAGTTATATCGAAGTGCTGAAGGGTAATACGATCTTGGCCCAATGCTGATCTTTAGCACATATCATTGACATAAATATTATTTATACTCGTGACGCTAATCTTTCTACTTCGATCGCGATCCCATTTTCTTGATTATGGAGCTTATTAATACTACCGTAGTTGTCGCAATTACTTGTACAAATATATAATTAAAAAAGAAAATATATGCTTTATTTTTACTAATAATTGCACCATTGACTTAATTGTAACCTTATGAACTCACCTGAACGTTTATAAAGACTTGAAACATGTTGAGCGATTGGTCTCTTAGTCTGGTTTCCCAACTTTCGTTCTCCACTCTTATTTTCATCTGATGTTATCCCTCTCATCTTTTTAGAAGATGTCGATTCATCATCCGGCCCATTTAATGTAATCTCTCTAGACTCATCAGGGTTATTGTATTCGTAACCCTTGCCCTCAATAAAGGAAAATCGCCGAACAAGTAAGTGCATGGTAAGATAAGCAAAGTAGTTCAACTAGAAAGGTTAGCGGAAGAGCTGATGATATTGAAATAGCTCAGTTGTCGGTACAACGCCAAACACGATGAACTTTTCTCATCATTAAAGACTACACGTGAAAGTGCGTTAACAGTAATTACAAGTGGGCAGTAATCACTGCACTTAGGTGCCCTGCCGGGCTATAATGGACCCTTACCAAGTAAAACGTCTAGCAGTAAGATTTACTAGTAGTACAGCGTGGGGGGTAAGACTGAACCGAGGAATGTTTGGTCTTTAGTGGCAAGTTCTTAAATTGGTTCTTTGCATGTGGACAGAGATAAGCTTCTAACGGGATATTAATATTATCGTTAGATGTTAATGTTATACTTATAGCGTTGTGGTGGATATATTTGTAATCAACGCAATACTAATAGTTCTTCTTTGAAAAGAGAAATAAATAAAAATAAACTGATGCGTATTGACAAAACAATAAGTTTTTAAGCATTTTTTCCGTCAACTTTGATAAAGAGTTTAGGCAAATCGATTGTTCCCTGAAACTACTCGCTGATCTTAGAAACGAATGGTGCGGCTTTATGGTCATGATCTGTTTTAAGACAATGATCTGGATAAATTTCATGCAGAAATCCAATACAATTACTGGGAGGACGTATCCAAATGGCCTTATGTAAATCGACCATGCCTTATTTCCGTTTAAAAATCAGATTCATATAAACAGGTTTAATTAGGTTTTGGTACTGTTCATGGCTTAAGAATTGCTTAATATTCTTCTGCTCAATTTCTTAGCATTGAAAATTGGTGCACGATCGTTTACGATTGGTCCAACAAGTATTCTCTGTACAATATTCGTACATAATATAAGTATAACGGTTGCCAATACGACACACCCAGAATATGAATTGTGGACAAAAGACCACTTAAAGTTAAACACTTACGGTTATTATCATCCTCTCCATTAACCAGGGAAATTGCCGCAACGAGGGCCATCAAATGGTCACTGTAGGTCACGTAGTCGTTTCCTCTTTCTAATTAAATAATTGTAATGAGGTCACACATTTTATAGCATGTATAATGTATAATTGTGTATTATATTTGACAAAAACCCATAATTATTGGGTAAAGTGGACCGCTGCTAGTGTCTCTCTTTCCCAAACAAAAGGAAATGATATTAATATGATTGACCGTCTGCAAATGCAAAATAATGCGTTCGGGTCGATACCTAGTCTTTCGGGATAAGGGTGGTAGTTAGTGAATTAGCTGAAGTTTATTGAATCTTTATTGCCGAGTACAGCTGCCTTCGGGTAGTTCTTCTTAATTTATTACAATTGTAAATAAATGGGAAAAGCGAGCGACCGATTTCATTCTCGGTATCATTTTGCATTAGCAGACGCGACGGTCAATCAAATTAGTATCATTTCCTTTTGTTCGGGAAAGAGAGAAACTAGCAGCGGTCCACTTTACCCAATTATGGGTTTTGGTCAAATATCATCTCTTTTTTATGAATTTCAGGGCCAGGGTACTTTATAAAGTCGAAATATAAACTGATAATTCTTCATTAATAAGGAGGTATAGTTTCAACGATTTCAAAATGTTTCCTTTGAAAACATTTCCTTGTGTTTAGGTGAGCATATCGGTCGATCACTGACTGAAAATGCCACATTATACTCATTCAAGTTGGCATTAAATTCATATATATAATGCCATTGAACTGTCGTGACAAAGCAGAATTTGTTCAAAATCACGAATGAGCAAAATTCTCATCTTTCGCACGTGCAAACTTTGAGCGAACGTTGCGTGCGCATCCAATATTCAATCACCTTAAATTTTTGCATTTTCGTAATTTATGTATAGTTTATTAAGCATGCAAAGTTTCAGAATATTTCAAGAAGAACTTTTATCACAACGGCACTCCAAAGTTGACAGAAAATGGTGAAAACAGCAATTTTCAGTGATTTTAGCAATTTTATATCAATTTAGGCGTGTCCCCACGTGTGCAACGTTTCGATTTTTAACTTTAATACTAGCCTAATGCACAATTTATACCTATAGGAAGCGGAACTGAGCTCCACAACCCAAGGCATGGCCCAACACCAAAGATTTTTGAAAAGTTGTTACTTTGTCAAAAATCAATGACGTCATCATACATACATGAAGAGGTCTCCTCCTAGTCGTTGGAGTGGCCTGCATCACACACATCTCTTCTACGGCGTAACATGTTCCTCCATTCCACTCGCTTTAGAGCCAACTGTTTTACTGCATCTCTGCTGATGTTATCGACACCTGTAAATTCAGCCGCATCCTCGAGTACACAGGCCATCCAGCCTTTGCGGGGTCGTCCTCTCAGTCTCTTTCCATAGTTTGGTTTCCAATCCAGTAAGAAATTGGGGAACCGCGTCTCTGGCATTCTGACAACATGTCCGTATCACCTTAGTCTATCCGCACCGATGAAAGTTTCGATAGACTTAATTCCAGCACGCCTGAGAACTTCTTCATTGGAGACATGGAAGAACCATTTTATCTTCAAGATTCTTCTCAGGGAGGTCAGATGGAAGACCTCAAACCGTTTCATCTGCTTCTTTGTTGTGTTCCACACTTCAGCTCCATATAACAGAATAGTAATAACAGCAGCCTTGTAGATACGGATCTTGGTGGGCGTTCTTATAGTTCGACTGTTCCATATCTTCCAAAGCTGATGAAACGCACCATTAGCACGCTGGATCCTGATGTCAAGATCTCGGTCAATGGTACCATCCCCACTGATGTTGGCACCAAGATAAACAAAGTTGCTGACCTGTTCAACAGGTTCTCCCTCCACTGTTAGCTTTATACTGTCTCTTTCGGTGTAAGGTCGCTGGGACGCACACTTGCTGATCGCCATGCATTGTGTCTTTTTAGCGTTGATCTTCAACCCAGCATAAGAGGTGTAATAAGCTATAAGATCAGTGGACTCTTGCAGCCCTTCTTCAGTATTGTCCATCACTGCCAGATCATCAGCGTAGTCACTATCCATGATAACTTTTTCATCTGCACCCTTTAGTTCCTTTTGCAGTACAGCACCATGACTGATTGCCTTGTGAACCTCGGCCAAAAAGATTCCAAAGTTCAGACAGAAATTAAATACAGGAGGGCCCTGGATATCACCCTGTCCAGTGCCCGAATTAACAGAGAACCAATCAGACATTTCACCATTCACCCTGACAGCACTCATGGTTCCGTTGAAGAATGCCTGAAAGATTCTAACATATTTCTCAGGAAGTCCATAGTGTCTCATGCTTGACCAGATAAACTCTCTTCTGATGGAATCAAACGCTGCCTTAAAATCAATGAAATTAACATAAAGTGGAATGTTAAACTCAATGCAGTTGTGAATAATGGTGCGGATGGAATAAATCTGATCAATACATGAGCGGTTCCGTCTGAACCCACACTGATTTTCCCTAAGAAGACACTCCATTCCAACATCCAGCCTCTTAAGAAGAACCATTTGAAGAACCTTAGAAGACGTTGCCCTAAGAGTTATACCCCTATTATTGCAGCAGTATGAGGTGTCTCCCTTCTTTCCGATAACCACTATAACACCTTTAAGCCAATCCTCAGGGATCACCTCTTCCTCCCATACCTTTTTAAACAGTAGCTCTAGTTGGCCAACAAGAGCACTTCCACCATACTTAAGTTGTTCATTAGTTATCTCATCAACCCCTGCACTTTTGCAGTTCTTCAGTTTCTTTAGAGCATAACTAATCTCATCTCTAGAAGGAGGTCCATCAGAACAAGAAAGGTAGTCAAAACTCGGTTGTGAGGGCACACCATCGAGGTCATCAAGATTGGCATCCGATAGTGGAGGATTTAAGAGCTCAGTAAAGTGCTCCTTCCACCTTTCCTTCTGACTGTCCGGGTCTGTAATAAAATGACCATCCTTATCCCTAACTGACATACCCACTTTCTTCTTCTTTTTCCCAGAAATCGTCTTTATCTTATCCCAAACTTCCCTTTGCTGGCCTTTCTTAGAAGCCTCCTCTAGATCAGTCGCTATTTTAGTAGCCCAGTTGTTGTCGTCAATTTTACAACTTTTCTTAACTAATTTATTAAGTTTAGAGTAGGCTGATCTATTGACGTTTGAAGTGGGATCCCTCCGTTTGAACATTCCCCGTTCAGTGGCGTAACGAAGGGCCCCGCTGACCCCGCTGTGCAGGGGGGCGCCGTCTTAGGGGGGGCGCCAAATCGTCGTTTGAATGTGGGACAATTTCGAAAACTTAACTAAAGTACTAGCAAAACTGCGCGTTTTGCTCTAGATACACACTTTATTAGAGATTTTACCGGCGTATCCTCTAAAATCACCTAATTTGTTCAATTTTAGGGAGGGGCACCAAAAGGGGAGGGGGCGCCAACAGGGGGGCGCCTTTTCGGCGGGGGGGGGGGGGGGGGGGGGGGGGCGCCAACAGGCAACGTTACGCCACTGTCCCCGTTGCTCTATCAAGTTCTTAGAGGTTTGCGAAAGGTGTTGTTCTTTAACCTTCCGGGGACGCTTTCCAAGCACTTCCATCGAGACATCAGTGACTGTCTGCTTGAAATTATCCCACATGTCCTCAAGGTTGACCTCATTAGCCAGACAATCAAAACGGTTCTGAAGAGCCACGTTGTACTCTTGAATCTTAGACGAGTTTCGCAAATGTTCGATAGCAGGCACATCGTGCCTTTTAGCAGTGATCTTAGCTACCGACTGCAGTTTGATTTGCAGCCGTCCACGAACAAGATAGTGATCTGAACCAATGTCCGCCCCACGACATACATTAACATCGAGTAGCGAGTGTTGGAATCGTCCACTAATACAAATATGATCTATTTGATTCACAGTTAACCCGTTGGGAGACCGCCATGTACCCTTGTAGATGTCTCTATGCTGGAACAGAGTTCCACCGATAACAAGTTGATTGGCTGCACAGAAATCCATGAGCCTGGTCCCATTGTCGCTTGATGAACTATGGAGAGATTCTCCACCAATAACTCCCTCGAATCCATATCTGTTTGAAGTAACTTTTCCATTGAAGTCACCCAGTAGCAGTTTCAGATCATGTCGGGGCAGTTCACCAAACGTGTCTGATAAAACGTTGTAAAAACGATCTTTCTCTCCGTCATCAGCACCGTCAGTCGGAGCGTAGGCTACAACAACAGATATGTTGAGGTGTTTGCCGTGTAACCTAGCTGTTAAGACCCGCTCTGATGTAGGTACATAAGAGATCAGGGAGTTCCTGACCTTTTTGGAAAGACATAGGCCAACCCCTTGCCTTTTGATACCATCTCCCCTACCAGAATGAATAAGTAGACTACCATTGTCCAAAAGTGTACTTCCAGATCCTGGCATATGAGTTTCAGTAATACCCAAAATATCAAGACTGTAGTGATCAATGTTCTGACTGAGTTGATAAAGCTGTGAAGATGAGCTGACTAAAGATAAAACATTCCAGGTTCCAAAGTACATTGAGTGTTTGCTGTAGTTGATAGGATTGGACTTGCTGAAATCAGTGTCAACATGAGCGATCTGTTGACTAATTACTCTGTTGTTATGACGAGCAACCACTCTTCTCATCAGGCCACTGGGGTCCCTGAGGCTTTGCCCAGTTGCCGTCATCCTGGTCTCACCCGACCTCGCAGAGGTAGAAGCACACCGTCCTTGATTTGTGTGTAATGTTTCAGTAGCAAACTTTTAGAGAGGAGAAGTTGCCAGCATCTCGCACCCGGTTTTTATCGACCTTTGCCTGTCTAGATCCATAGTGTTTTGTTGCACGTCATCTGTTTATACTGGAGTCACCCAGGACAGATTACAATGCTTAATAGTAGCACCTCGAAAAGGATGTGATTCTTCATCACGCACTATGGTCATTGGAATAGGAGAGGTTATTGGCTTCACCGCCTTCACGATCACTATTCCCTGAGATTATAAATAATCTCTTGCCACCAAACACCCCTTGATGACGTCATCAAGGGGTGTTATTGTTAAGGACTTCAAATAATTTTTGTATATAATGTAAACTAAAGTGTAAACAATTATATTTAAGACCTGTGGTCGGAAATGTCTGTATCTTTTATACTTTAGAATCTACGGACACCTAAATACAGGCTATAATTGACTGGCAAAGCGTCTATCCCTGAATATATACAGGGTGGGCCATAAAACACTACCCATCCATATCTCTTAAAATTGTTACAGCTCGCTGAGATCTTGATAATTATTTTCTTTCAGAATGGAAAAGCGCCATAACTTACGTTCTGATTAATATTTTTGTTTCAAATTTTTAGAGAATGTCAATCATAATTAGACACAACTTCGTGCCAAGTTTTGTGTGAGTCTGAGCTTCTCTGACAAAGTTAGCTCCTGAGCGTGCTAGCTTTAATTTCTCACCCATAACTGTTTACATTGGTTAATTTAGGAACCACCAAAAAAAATCCTGGGTAAAAATTAAAAAAACACTGATTTATTTATGTTTTACCAATTCTATTCACCATGATGCATCGCACATTCCATGTAGTGAGAAGAACGATATAAACAAGCAGGAAAGATCATCTGTGATAGTCCTTATCAGTTAAAATATAGAGAGAATGGAATGTCCGATGGATCATGGTGAATAGAATTGGTAAAACGTGAATAAATCGGTGGTTTTTTAATTTTTTTACCCAGGATTTTTTTTGGTGGTTCCTATTAACCAATGTAAACAGTTCTGGGTGAGAAATTCAAGCTAGCTCACTCAGGGGCTAAATTGGTCAAATAAGCGCAGTGAAGCTCGCACTCACACAAAACTTGCCACAAAGGTTTAGCTACTTGTTATTAACATTCTGTGAAATTTAGAAGCAAAATATTTATCAGAACATAAGTTATGCCACTTTTTGTTTTTAAAATAATTATCAAGATCTCAGCGAGCTGTAACAATTTTAAGAGATAAGGATGGGTAGTGTTTTATGGCCCACCTTGTACATACATATGTAATATGTATATATATGTATATATATATACATATGTATCACGACAATCTATCGTAAAACAGGGGTTCCAGAAAACCCACTTCTCGATACTCTTGAAACTTTTTTTGCACTCGATTTGGTCAACGTCTAGACGCCCTGCAAAATTTCAGATCTCTAACTCAATTTTGACATGGTTTTTAAGGCACCTGAATATGGCGATTTTTGGTTTTTTATCGAATTTCGTATAACAGAGTGCGCGTATTTTGTGCAAATTTCTTTAAAACCTCCACATAACTATTTCTTATTCCTGTCATCTTTGACATCGAATTAGAATGTTTTGAACTAAAAATAAATCTCCTGAACGACTTCCAATGAGCATTAATACCTGAAAAAACAGTAAATGGGGTATAATAGTATAGAATGTATAAGAGGCACGGTCATGCTTGCCAGCACTGTGATTAAAAACAAATAATAAACCGTTTTTATTAAAATTAGAAAGGAAGCATATTAAAGCTTTATTATTTCACTCATTTTAAAAACAATTGTACTCGTAGAATCAACTGAATCAAACAAAGATTCTTTTGATACGCTAATAAATATTCTTCAAGAAAATGAAAGACGCCACTAATATTCGCAATAAACATGCTACTAAAAATATTGTACGGTTGTCGGAATGATTACATTGAATTGCAGGAATGGTTTAGACATAAGCAAAACGGTTGAAGCCATACAAGTTTCACGAGAGTCTTAGTGAAGCGGTAAAAACTAAAAAGAAATACAAAAATAATCTGGCAATGTTTTGGACTTTTCATGAAACTGTCTATAAATCTTCCGAGGGTATTTGTTCCACGTAAAACTGATGATAACTTCCCCTAGTAGGCCAGAGCTGTTATTATGGCTGGTGAAAGCAAAATGTAATCCCCGAAATCAAAACAAAATGTAAACAGAATTTAAGGGAGAATGACTGTGGCTGTGTATAGGTAAAACTAAATGTAAACAGAATATAAGGGAGAATGAACTAGTCTGTAGTGGTGTACATATACTGTAGCTGTGTATACATATTCCCAGACATTATCATTAGGATTGTTTATACAGTATACGTGCCACCTTAGTCTTCTACTCTACATAAGAGAGCATAAAGGGAGAGGGCTTCAAAATAATTACGGCAGTACAATTTTTACACAAAGCTACAAAGGATAATGGATGTGTAAAAGGGGTTACGGAGGGGGATGGGTTATAAATGGCCAAAACGTGAGTACTGAGTACATAATATGTGAAAGGGTCCTTAAGTAAAGAGGATTATTCTATAACACAATAGCATTTCAGAAAGTAGGGCTTACTGAATAAATATCCGCAGCTAGAATGTCATCTGTATTCTGTATCTACAGCTTGAATGGACCATTTTGTGATCGACACGACATCTGTGGCTAGTCTAATTTGTTACTTGAGAAATTTCACATGGTTTTACAACTGTTATTTTGTTACTCTTTTGTATTACTGGTATTTGACTATGTTTCTATCGACGAAGCGCCTGATCTTGTTTATACAGCGACTTACAGAGCCTCTGATTTTAGTATGAAATGCAGAAATGAGTCTTGTTCGTCTGGACGGTTAGATTCACACTCACTGAGCGCCAGTACTAAACTCGATATTATTTCTTCAACTCTTAACTTGGTCACTAAAAGTTCAGCAATATCAGCTCGCAAATATCAAGTCTCTGAGTGCTGAATGGTCCAATTTCGTGTCCGGGTCTCATGTGCCGGAACACCAGTTACTTGGATTATAGTTACACATGTCTGACAAGGGGGGTGTGTTCGTCAGGAGAATCCGTGATGTTTGGAGCTAGATTCTGGGGTTCTGATGTACTATCGTAGGAGTTTGACTCGGAAAGGGGTGGAGGGGGAACGGGGGAGGGAGGGGTTTCTGGAACTTTCTCGTCAGGAAACACCGCTTGCTTGCAGCACGGACACACCCGCCGAGATTTTGTCAGCCAGGGGTCTATACAATGACTGTGAAAACCTGAAGTAAATAATAATGATGTGTTCGCTGTCTTAAGAAAACCATTTTCAGACAATAATCAGATCTCAGGACGTTTTAATTAAGTTCAACGAGAGAGATCTGTAGAATAATTTGATTTGTTCAACGAGAGCATGGGTTTATGTGAAATTTAATTACCATGATTGCATGGTAATATTCTCAGCTTGTCTCCTTCTTCAAAGTCATCCAAACAAATAGCACACATATCATAATCGTCTGTTTCGCTGAAAATTATGATCTTCAGCTTCTTGAGCTTGGATGTGGGAAGTCGTGCACGTCTGCGTCTCTGATAACGACGCACTTTCTTGATGACCTGAATTTAATTCGGGTTACACACAATCATTCTACTGTATCCGCGCCTTTCGTTTTTGTACATAGTTAATAATCATAGCGATTAAGTGAGTATTGTATATGCGGATTTGAAGCTCCCGACCGTAATCTCTCTTTGTGATCATCCCTGGCAACAAGCCAGATTTTGGAGGACCAAAAAGATCACAAAAAGCAATGGGTATCATAGAGCGTAACAATGACAGTGTGTCATATCAACTTTTGAGTAATTTATAGACATGTTATTCAGTAAAATGTGTTATAATATCTCACCAGGAATATGAACATGAGTAGGAAGCAGATTGAGATGACGATGAGGAATGGTACAATGTACATGTGCCAGGGTAGAGTGTAGTAGGGTGTTAACGTCACCAAAGCCCTGCAAGATATATGGTTGTTAGGCTTCGATCCAAAAACATTAAAGGACCAGTTAACTGAAAAATTTGTAGTCTCCAATTTGGCTAAGATTTAAATCAGCTGTGACAAACTGGTAAAGAATCGTATCGCCGAAAGAACCAACTCTCTAGCGTACGTGTAACGCGTGTTATTGCAATAATAAGCTGTGGCCGCGTGACGTCATAAAGTCCCTCAGTGCGCGCTTGCATAGCGTAATACAATGCACAAATGTTTATCATCGTCAATAAAACACGTGTAACTCACTCAAATTTTAGAGTTATGACTATTTCCCTAGTTCTACAAAATCCTTATAGTTTTGGCTATCACCCTAACTATATGAATAGCTGATTGGATGTACAGTGCTCACGTCAGGATTTTAAACAGTGACATAAGTTCTTGAACAGTGGCGGGTGAATGTACGGTTAGAAAGTTTCTGCTATTACAAGTTATGTCTAATGTCATATGTGATAATTTTGGATTGTTTTCATTGCTTCATTACAAACGAAGGGAGACTGTACCGATTATTTTTCCCCAGTACATGAAACTAATACACAAAATAATGTGCTATATATTAAATATAGCTGATCAGAGTGTAACTCTGTAATATAATATTACAGTTGTTCGGAAGAATGCGAGCAGTCGAATGGTTCGCTGTAAAAGACATAGTCCAGACAAGAAGTCTGGCTATTTTACGGCCGTTCCCATGGGACCATTAGTAGAAGTAGCTCCTATCAGAACGGTGCCGTGGGAACCGAAAAATACCCGGTCTACTAAATACTGATTGGAGTGTACAGTGTGCGGAGTGTTTTGAATTTGACTTACCTAGTTATCGTCCTACTTGTATGATCATAAAATTAAATACCAATTAGTGCAAACGTGTTCAGTCAATCGACCCACTGAACAACTATAGAATTTCCAAGACCCTATTATTCTTTGGCCATATATATTACGGCACGATCGATTCTTAGATGGCTAAACGACAAACGTTAATCTATACAATTCTTAAACTATGAGATAGCACTTTAATCTAAAAATACACTTTTATATTACTCCTGATTTTTACATTTCAATTTTCACGTAAAACATTGTAGCCATAGGTTGATCATGGACACTGACAGCTTAATTTTAGATAATAATGATTTATGAGTTTCTCTAAAGTTAACTCTAAACTTGTGTAGTCCAGTCATTTATGGACATTTATGGAATTGAACCTGCAAATTTTCGTATACTCACGAAATTTTGCAAAGACCTTCCCAAAAGTATGAATAAAGGATTTTCGGTTGGAGACATATTGACCACGCCGATATTGACCCAATAACGTAACCGACCCTTTGCTTCTGAAGGTCGTGGAGACTTCAAAATAGGCTTAAACGAAGCCGCATATGCAAGTTTATATAGGAGTTATTGAGCAACACATGGCCTAAAATCCTTACTTTTCGAGAAATTCGCCAAAAACCATTTTGGGCGTGGTGCTGTGCCCATTTTCGATAGGATCGTGATAGAGTCTTTAGACAGGGTGCAAAAGAACCGCAATTAGCATATTAATATATGACTTACGAAGAAACAGATGCCTTAAAGTGCTTACTTTTTCAGTTATTGGCGAAAAACTGATTTCCGGTTCCAGAAATCATGCAAAAATATGGGTGTCTCGTAAATTGGGCTATGAAGGCCAAACAGATTTTTGAATGAGTGCAAATTGTGCAGAATGGCCATGTTTATATACAACTTATGAAGCAACATGTACCCTAAAACACTTACTTTTCGAGTTATTTGGGGGAGAAACATTGTATTATGTCCATTTTTACCTGTAAAATACAGTCTCACGAGCTGCTCTGTGCGCGCAAGGGACTTTATGACGTCATCGCCAAAATAATACAAACGCTAATTACACGCGTTAGAGAGCAGTTAGAGATTTAGGAATTTCGACTCGTTGCTCAGTTTGCTATTTGTCACAATCTGTCAAAATATGAGGATAACTTTTTTTTCAGTTAACTGGTCCTTTAAATCATCTTTGTCACGAAAATTACCCGAAAATAACCCGAAAATAAATATTCAGTATTGATAGTGCGCGCGAATAATAAACTGCGCGCGTTCAGCGCAATGAATTCAAGAAAAAACAGGTCCGCGTGTTCCATAAGTCATATTTCCAGTGTCACGTGATTACACATATAACACTTAATCACCGTCACGTGTATATGGCGTGATACCTCGTTACAGTTGAAACACTAACATCACACTTAACAAAGAACATCATCATTCAAATTTAACGAAAGTGGTGGATAAGTTATGAGCAATGTTGCTACTTGAGGGTTTGCGGTCACTTACTACCGTTATTTTGGGAATCTATTTAGATATTTGCTAGGAGATATGATGTACCAGTTTTAACCAGTGCAGCCGAGGGACTTACGAAAAAAAAGAGAGACAATATAAAAATGTGTTTTGTTTTCCAGATGTGATCTCATGGAAAATATTTATATTCATATCCGATATCATTACATAATATTGCAACGAGAATAAAATGTAAAACAACTCACGATGGATTGACACTAAAAAGGTAGTTGTTTTTAAGCGTTTCTCCGGTCGACTGAAATAAACAAATATCAAAATCACCGATATTTCATTTCAGCATTATCTGCTAATTACTAAAATGTTGTCAAAAATGTCGGTATCTGAGAAAGAAGTTGTCAGCGTCATAGTGTATATAATATATACACTAGTGTATATAATATACATTATACACTAGTGTATAATGTATATATACACTAGTGTATATATACAACATGAGACAAAGGAACTAATTTCAAGTTGTTCGGGACCTAAATTGTATTACATTACATGACACTGTTTAGTATTGCTTGGTTTCCTCTCTATAATGATCGGAATTTGTAACTCATACTATTTTGTGTGGTAATGCAGTGCTCTAAAAGTCTAAATGTGCTGAACAAATTTCGGTCATTTTAATGTCATTGTTACTTGCAATGAACTAATCACAACATAGCTCCACACTTATTTTACGTTCTAATTCAGCATTATGGTGATTATAAAGAAGCGCAACAGGGATTTAAGACTATTGTGTAAATGATATTGAATGTAATTTTTCGATGTAATTTTTCAATTTCTATTACAAGGCTAACGAGTTCCTGCTCCGTTACACTAAATACACATGAAACCAAGGCAAGACCAAGGTTATGACACTGAACATAGAGGATCGATCTAGCGACCTCCGAAGTCGATCGGGAGAACCCATTGAAATGTGGATGATTTCGTTTACTTAGGATCCTGGATTAAGAGCACAGATCCGTCTTAGTTCCGACATAGTAGTAGTAAGACAAAAACAGAAATCGGATGACAAATCAGCAACGCATGACATCCGAGCAACAAAGCAAAGTTACAGAAACTATGAAGATACATACATATTTAATTAAAATCTCAACAATTCAATTAAAATCTCAACAATTAAATTAAAATCTCAACAACATACCAGTCCAACGAAAACGGCCTTGACTTGTGGATCTGCATCACCTGTAAGAGAACACTAGTTTACAAGGGATTTACACTCGAGTACACAGACTCTGAACTCTTATCCAATTTATTATCAGTTCCTTGGAATAATTGATTTCTTATCAGTCTATGCTTGCTGAAGGGTAAAACCTTAATTGCTTAATTGATCAATGTAAGTAATTTAGTCCTGGGTAATTCATTCGCTTTTTTATTGGTTTCATGGTTTCCATTTCAGGCGGATTAGCTTGTAATATTGGTTTATGTCCCTATGTTGTCCCACAGCATTGACGTATATCGTATTTTATTAAGGGCGAGGAAGTGGTTAGCAAATACGAATAAATAATTTAAAAATTACAACATTTTAAATACGGTCACTCCCGCGATTTAACGTTATGTATATATTATAATTTATATATATAATATTTTAAATAGCAAGAGTATTTCATATACCTTAAAAAGATGTTTGTAATTAAAACTTGATTTTAAACCACTTCCTCGATTAAATGACTGCTGTTTGACAGACAGCAACTTGTCAAGTTGTATTACGGATTACCTCATGCCCACAACTATTATTATAATGCAATGTGAAACACACTACCCAGCCAAGACAGGGCTCTTTCAAATTGTTGCAGTGCAAATTTTGTAAACTCAATAATTCAGGGTCTGAATTTCGATCGTAAAATACTGCATTTATAATTATAAATGTACTTTATCTCTAGCATATGACGGTTAAATTTGACGACTAAATTAGCAGGCAATTAAGGTAATTGTAATTAAGGTAGTTGATAAGAGTAATTAAAAAAAGCTGATATTTTGACAACGTACCATTCATGGGAATAAGTCTGTCATCCTGATCATTGTACACAATTACCAACTCATACCCTGCCTTTTCAGCATTTATCAGCTGAAATGTGTTATTGTTAGTTATTATATAATTAATTTGTTATTATGTAATTAATTAACTTGGGTTAACAATTTTTACTTGTGTACAGTAATACATTATTAGTTATACTATACAGTGTACAATGTATATTGTATACTGATGGTATTACCATCATGGTAACACTAGCCACGTCTTAGAGCGTGATATGATCATATCATGAGGATTGAGGATGTAGTTATTGTATCATTCGTTCATGACATGATACGAGATACATAATCTGTAAGTAGCTTAGGTCTAATTGGAAGCATTCACAGAGCGTTAGTGTTCAGTTATGTTACAACTTATATCTTACAAGGTTAGAATATATTACAGGGTTAGACCGTCATTCATATCAGTATTTACGTATAATAAAATATGTCACATAATGTAAGAAATATTCACATTATTATATACACATCTTAATGTAAGAAATTTAGGGATGAAATATTACATGGCTTTTTTAAAGACCCTTTCCCGCTGTTTGATACTGTTTAATAACATCAGTGCAGAGATAAATTAACTCACAAACTGTTGTACATTATCACATAACATCAAATTTAAGCAAATCTTCTGAAAGATTTTGCCATAATATTCTGTCTAACATTTGCTGCCACACTTAGCCTCAAGTTCTGTCGAACATTTGCTCCCACACTTAGCCTCAAGTTCTGTCTAACACTTGCTCCCACACTTAGCCTCAAGTTCTGTCTAACACTTGCTCCCACACTTAGCCTCAAGTTCTGTCTAACACTTGCTCCCACACTTAGCCTCAAGTTCTGTCTAACACTTGCTCCCACACTTAGCCTCAAGTTCTGTCTAACACTTGCTCCCACACTTAGCCTCACAACCACACGAAACTTAACAACGCCTACTCACTACCAGCCAGGTGTTTGGTCTACAATACAGATAGTGTTATTTACATGTGGTTATTGTTACACACTTTATACATTAGAATATTATAACACCACAGCGTTAAATTGTTAATTCAATAGCTCTACTACAATATGTAGTTCTCACCTATTTACCTTCTAAAGAGGCATTATTAAGTGGACACACATCGTGATTAAGTTGTGTGCTGTTATTGAGTCTCATTTGATTTCTCAAATATCTGATTATTTCTGATCAGACTCAGTTATGACAGTGTAATAATGAATGTAAGTTAAAAAAATATCCATCACAACCGATCGCGATGATACAGTCGATTAAAATTTTGCTGGCACTAATATAAACACAACGTAATTACCACAAAGCCGATTTCAATTTCAAGTTGTTCGGGACCTCAGTTGTATAACATTACATGACACTGTTTAGTATTGCTTGGTTTCCTCTCTATAATGATCGAAATTTGTAACTCATACTATTTTGTGTGGTAATGCAATGCTCTAAATGTGCTGAACAAATTTCGGTCATTTTAATGTCATTGTTACTTGCAATGAACTATTCACAACATAGCTCGACACTTATTTTACGTTCTAATTCAGCATTATGGTGATCATACAGAAGCGCAACAGAGATTTAAAACTATTGTGTAAATGATATTGAGTGTAATGGAATTTTTCAAATTCCATTACAAGGCTAACGAGTTCCTGCTCCGTTACACTAAATACACATGAACCAAGGCAAGACCAAGGTTATGACACTGAACATAGAGGATCGATCTAACACTAGATCACAACCGATGATACAGCCGATTAAAATGTTGCTCGCACTAAACACAACGTAATTACCACAAAACCGATCAAAATGCCATTCCAAAAATCATTGCACGTGCTCATTTAAACACCGTTGCTTTGCAACCTTTTGATTTATTACCTAACTTCATATTTCTCGTCTGATTTGAACGTGGGCGGTCGTACAAAGAGAATCTTTCGAATTATAGTATAGTAACAACTTATGTAGGTTAACACTTTACATCGGTCAAGTTGTTATAATACTAACAAAAATAACATCATCATAACACAACGTGTCAGGAGAAAACAGTACACACTTCCTTGTAAGGGATATGTTCACCTATGTTACTGTTACCAGGGCAACTGTAAAAAGTCGCAAGATAAACACTGACACATACTGCACATACCAAAGCACGTGCCACGTACCGTAAAGTATGCAGTCACAAAGTCACATACCTGTTTAACTTCCACACACACTTCCTACATGTTTCACCTTATATATTTTATTAAGCAAGGTATTTCTCTCCTTCATAATACAGATGAAAAGTTTTAACCTTTGCATCTATTGCTCTTGTATCTAATAGTCACAATATCTTTTTAAATTTTGCTTCATAACCCCTTTAAATGTAATTTATGTACAGCTTTATTAGAAAAACGGTACCAAGTTTTTCAGGTAAGTTTTTACAGTTAGCGAAGAAAATATTAAGAGGAGCAAACAGTAACATTATTTTAAAACATAATGACTTTTTGATTCAATTAAAAAAGAGGCTGAATCTAGATGTCTCACGAAGGGATAGCATGAGGATACTCTGCCTGCCTCTGGGGTATGGCAACCCTGAAGGAGGTTGCCGGATTATCGGAATTTAGTTTGATGGAGACACGGCATACCAAACACAGGCTAATGTACGAGACTGAGACACCCTAAGAGCGCTAGAAACGTATAATAAGCTGGTCGCCGGGTCGCCCCAAGGCAGGTAGTTTGTCTGGTAATGTAGTTACCTTTTCCAGCTCTCATCTCCTTCTGAGTCTCTGACCAGGCTGACTATAAGGTGATACTATTCTCCGGAAAGTACTATTCTCAGGGCCATATCCTCGTACATATAGGCCCTGTGCACAGCTGTGATTTTAAAACTTGCAGCCGGTTCAGGATTTTAAGTAAATCATAAAACCACAAACGTTCAATTTTGTTGTGTGCAGCCATTTTTAACGTTCTATTCACGAATCACGATTCAGTACTTTAAATATTCAATTAACTAGTATAGTAATGATTTTGAGTAAACACTATAGATTTTGTGACCCCAGCTAGAAGAAGAGCAGCAGTTTCTTGGGTGACTGATTTCTTATCAGTTACTGAAACTTTCAAAAGTGAAACACCCTCTAGCTCTTGTCGAATGATAATATGGGCACGTAGCCCGCACTATTCCCACATTAATATCACATCTTAATAAGAGAGCTCGGTACTATAGAGGAAGAGGAAAGAGGAGAGCAGCTGTTCCTGCTGTTGTTACACACACAGTGCTCCCCTCATGATATACCGGTCACACACACACACACACACACACACTCTCTCTCTCTCACTCTCTGGGTCTCAACTCTCACATGACAATGTAAGTTTACACTGTTATATTGGGAGGTCTTGTGATGGAGGTACAATAACAGCTGATTCACAGTTCAACTCGTGGAACACGTGCGCTTAACACTACATTAAGACTGAGTGACGGTCAAGAGTCAAGACACGTACGTTAAGATTGATTAATATATAACGAGACCTTTTTACTTTTTACTTTTTGCTTGAAGTTTACGTCTCTCTTCTATTCCTACAATTATTATTCCCTATATTTACACTTTACACTAGAAATCCCTTGTGTTAGTCCTCATCAACTAACACGCCTTGCTACTGCAAGAAGAGACGACGGGTGGGGTGCCTAGTCTGAGCACGGCTTTCACAGCCCCACCCGCTTTGGGGTGGCTAGCCAGCAAGCTGCAGGGATCACTCACTCCATCCCCCCTGTTGTTTCTGGACCCACTAGCAACCTCAGAGTGACCTCCACGTTGGTAGGGGATGGTAACTGCCCCTCATTGTCCGGCAGGCTAAACGTCGTCTGGCTGGATCAGATCAAATACCAGCACATACCTAGCCTCTCTCCACTCCACCTCACTCACACAGGAGCCCGGCAAGCTCCTTTCCGCTACGGACAGTAGAATATCAAAACGACCCAGCCATGGACAAATGGTACCTAAAACCCACAAATATGCCAAAACAGTACAATAGCTCGTCACATAAACAGAGAGAACGGCAAAAGGGGTCTACTGAAAACACGGAACGCGCGGACAAAGACATACATAGTAAAGAAAGCCAAAAATTTATCACCAAACTGGTGCGCGCGCGACCAAACAAATCACGGCAAAACAACAAACATCAAGCACAGTAAATATCGAGAAACACCTAGCGGAGCTGTTAGCCAGATAACAGTGGAAGTGGTAGTTTCTCGCATTATCAAACCCAATTTTCCGGGAGGCTGTTTCGACAGTTGACTTTCTATGGACTCAGAAAGTCCCCCGATGACGGAACATATGGCAGATACTCTTAGGGGTATCGCCGTTCCACCGGGTCATAACAGCAATGTTATGTCCATTTGGTTCGTGCCGGCTCAGCGAGTCCCCATCCCAGCCGAGCTTTCGGTACACCTCCGCAACCAAAGGAGCTCCAAGAGACGTTAGCCACAAGGCGGACGTAGCCTCCCCGCAAACCCGGGGAGGTAGAGTGAGCGCCCATCGACAAAAAAAAAAAAAAAAAAAAACTTTACACTAGATTACAGGTCATGTAACCAGAGAAGCTCCAATATAATTACCTTACAAGACATTTTTGTGGCGGACCAATTTGCGACGACCGAAATTTTGGCGGTCCGAAAATATGGCGAAATTGAACAAAAACCGTCACATTTCGGACGTCACAGAAAATAAGGGTATTTTTCATCATTTTGTTTTCTGACACAAAGCTAAAGGAAATTCAAACTTTTCTAAAAATCGGTAAAATCATGTTGAAACAAAATGAAACTTATAAATCGATTTCTTCATCTTCCTCTAAGGGGTCCGGCTCGACTCTTTCAGTTTCACTTATTGAGTTTGGTATTAAATTGTTTATCTTGACTTAGTCTCTTATAAGACGTTTATGTTAGCACATAAATGTAATTTATTTTAAATTTAAAACGTATTACTTGACATTAAATTCATCATGGAATATTGTGTTTATTTGTCCCACCATCATATCACTAACTTTTCAAGAACAAAATGAATCGATGAAGCCACAATTAT